AATAGCTAAAAGTAAGTGAGCTTTTTTGTTTAATCCTCAGGTCACCCTCACAGGTAGACACTCTTATCACAATCTCCATCTTGCGGGGGGAAGCTGAGACCCGGGGTGACCCCTGCTTGCTCATGTCACACAGCCCGGAAGCGGGTGAGAGATTTATCACGGGAAGGTTGACTCCAGAGTCTGGTTGTTTATCGCCAGGCGACGCTGCCTACGTGGCCTCTGCTTGAACGGGCAGGGAAGTGGAGCGCAGAGCAGGCACTCTAGAAATCTTGGCTGAATGGGGAATGAGCCATTTTCAAGTTTTTTTTGTCAGCGTCTCTTAAATGTGGCTCCTTCTCGGTGTCTAAGCATCTCTCACGTAGGATGTTGCAGTATTCTTCACGTTGGTCTTCCTTCCTCCAACTTCTCCTTCCTCCAACCCAACTTCCCCACTGCTAAAAGAGTTATTTTTCCAACAGAAAATTTCCATCATTACCTTGCTTAAATCTTTCAGTGACTCCTCACTTCCCACAGCACAAAGGCCAAACTCCTCAGCAAGGCTCTCTGGGCACCTCCCAAATCCAGCAACCCCCCTTCCCCAGCCTCATCTCCTACCACCACTTCCTACACCTCTCAGCTCAAGCCACACTAACCACTTGCAGCACCCTCAACAGGCTTCATATGCCGTTGGGATTCCTTTCACCATGGCCTACCGAATGAACCCCTCCCCTATTCCAGGTTTCTGTTCTATGTGTGGTGGTTGAGAACCTGGGATATGCGTCAGACTGCCCAGGAGTGAATCCTAACCAGGTGACCCTGAGCATGTAACTTCACCTCCTGCTGCCTCAGTTTCTTCGTCTGTAAATGGGCACGAAAGACTAAATTCATAGAATAGTTGTGGGGACTAAAGGAGATAGCCACAAAATCTCCCGTTTGCCTCACTGGGGCTCCCATTTTTCTACATACTTCAAATAGCTCCATTCCAATGAATTTCAATTATTGGTTTACATGCCTCTTCCTCCAGGGTTTCTCAACCTATTGACACGTTAGACTGGATGATAACTCTTTTTTTTTTATTTTTTTATTTTTTGTGAGGAAGATCAGCCCTGAGCTAACATCCGATGCCAATCCTCCTCTTTTTGCTGAGGAAGACTGGCCCTGGGCTACCATCTCTGCCCGTCTTCCTCTACTTTGTATGGGACACCGCCACAGCATGGCTTGACAAGTGGTGCGTGGGTGCGCGCCCAGGATCCAAACCTGCGAACCCCGGGCCGCCACAGCGGAGCGCGCGTACTTAACCGCTACGCCACCGGGCCGGCCCCTGGATGATAATTCTTTGTGATGAGGGGTGATGCTGTGCCTGGTAGGATGTTTGGCAGCATCTCTGGCCTCTGCCCACTAGAAGTCTAAAGCACCTCTCCAGTTTTGACAACCAAAAATGTCTCCAGATATTGTCAGATGCCCCCTGGAGACAAACCCCTTACCCACTAAAAACTACTGCCTGCAACTCTGAGTTCCTGGAGTAGTACTATTAACAGCAGCAGCAGCAATAGCTATCTTTTTTGAGCACTCACCATGCACCAAGCATAGTTCAAAGTCCTTTTCATAAATTATAGAATTTAATCTTCTCAATACCCTAAGGGTGGCGGATTTTAGACACATTTTATTGATCATAAAACAGGATCACAGAGAGGTTAGTAACTTGTTCAAGGTGTGTCATATTCCCATCTGGTCCATCCCCAACACCTAGCATGTTACCTGATACAACCAGAGTTCAACAGTAATTTAAAGAATGAACAGATGGATGGATGGATGGATGGATGGATGGATGGATGGATGGATGGATGGAGCGATGGAGCGATGGATCGATGGATGAATGAATGAATGAGACAGTCTCCTCCATAACAGCAATCTATCTTTCTTCACTTTTCAGGGACAGTGAGCCTTCAGTCTCCTCTGGAATCCCACGGTACCTGTAGAGTAGTTTAATTCATTGGAAAATCGCTCCCCAGCTGTGGCTCTCCTAAGCTATCCAGGCATTGCATGGGGTTAAGCTGTGCTGGTTACCCTGTTGTTGCTATTAATAACATAAATCACACCTTCCAACTTAGCTTTAAGAGGCATCACTCAATCCAGCCAAGAGGCCTGACTTTACCAGATAAATACCATAGATCTAATTTTCTACCTATCAGTCACTCCTTTCAGACTTTGGTGAGATACAATAACACTCTTTTTCCAGCTTAGAATACATCACACTGAAAACCTTCCCAAATACTATGTTTCTTATGAGCACTACATACAGTGCTGCGCAGAAGCATAAAGTGAGAGAATGCTCCCCTGGTCCATAAGTGTGGACATTTTTATCCTATGAAAAAATCAATGAACTGAAGGGTAAATCATAATGATGTGATTCTTGGTTGACACTGTTCAGCATTTAAACCTGCTTAACCTACAAAAACTGTAGATAAACACAAGTATAAATCCTTAAATCAGAGTAGATGGAGATCTTAAAGTATCGCAGGTCCAGGACTGATAATGGATTCAGGGGTAAGAAATAGAGAAAAGCTTTCTGTTAGGGAGCAAGGAACTCCAATGTTTTTTGAGTTCTGCTAAAATTCTAGAAAATGTTAAACATAAAGCAAAGGTTTAAGAGAGAGTTGAGCTTATGATAAAGCAAGACCTCTTTAAAGGGCTTGTAGACTCATTGGGTGAGGCAGGGTAAAGTCAGACAGACCTCACTTTGAATCCCATCTTTGCCACTTTGGCGACTGGAAAGTTACTCAACCTCTTTTTAGCATCAGTTTTCTCATCCTCAGGAAAATGGGCATTATAATACCAACTTAGAGAGCTGACAGCAAGATTAAATGAGATAATGGGCGTAAGATGCCTAGCTCATAACATCTGCCTCATAAAGGGTAGCTTTTTTAATCTTTATAAAAATGACCTTAAGGGCACACACATACATGCACACACTTCATTTCACAGAGAAAGCTTTGAGGTCAAAATATGGGATGGGTCTTAATGGCAGTACCAGAATTAGAACCTCTACACACCCACATCCTGCCCTTCATTCTGGCCTCTGAGCTCTTTCATAAAGGAAAGAGCCAAAGAATGGGCAATACAGAAATACTGAATTAATAAACAAATGCATGAATAAGCTCGGATATCTCATGGCATCACTAATGTTATAGATTTAGTTTGATATCTCATTCCAAAAGCATTTCTCTATTGAGCAATAATTAGATGCAAAGCAATGCATGTGCTATACATGGATGTAAAGATAAAAAGACATGATCCCTTTCCTCAAGACCTCACTGTCTAAGGAAGGAAATTCAAGTATGACTCTAGATTCAATTCAGACCATCTTTTAGGTTATTATATGTATTGCAACTAAATAAAAAGATCACAACAACATGTATAAATGTAATTCCATTCTTAGTTAAAACTACTCCAGAATTATTTCCTCCATTCTCTATGGCCTTCCAGGCCTTAAATCTGGCACAGATTAGTACAGCACTATCATCACCACATTTGGTAGCATTTTCTCATGAAAAGAAAAAAAAAAGACAAAGCCATCCAAGAAAGAGTGATATGCAACACTGCCCTTGGATTTTAGCATTTAAAAGTTTTATTGTTTAATAAAAATTGTAGGGCATAGATGTGAAATCTTACTTACTCCCAGGGGGAAAAAAATGTGTATTTTTACTTATTTAAGAGTCAAGTCAGATTATCAAAACTAATTTAAAAGTATACGATTACTACAAAGGTGCCAGATCATAAGTAGCCTCAGAATTCCCCTACGCTATCAGTGTAGTTTGAAATAAATACGTACATACATAATAAATCAGCCCAGTCTTGCAAATCCTACAGAATCCTAGATGGCAGTAGCCATTAGAATTTAATGCAGATAATCCCAGAGCCAAAATGAATTGTGGAAGCCATCTTTTCTATCCCTCTACCTTCCAAACGTTAGAAGCCCCAGAAAGACAAGACTCTCCCTTGCCTCCATAAACGTCACCGCCTTCCACCATGACCTACTCTTCATGGTTCAGGAGGGTGTGGAGGAGAGGAAATCAAACTTCAGCCTAGAGGCAGCCATCCTCCTCACCTCCGAGGTGAAGCCCTCCAACTGGGCTCCCAACCATTTCTCTTTCCTCCTCCTAGGACTCACTTCTCTCTACCTTCCACAGACTTGTCAGGCCTCCTGTTTCATTTCCTCCCATCACACCACCTTAGATGACTCTCTGCTCTCCCACAGCCCTTCCCAACCACAGCTCACCCCTGCCAAGGCCACTTCCGCCCTCTGCTTTCATTGCCTTGCTTCTATAGGTGGTAGCCCAAAGTTTTCTGCCGCCATGTTTTAATGGATCTTTTTTCTTTAATACCTAAGGTATGTAAGGGCCTTAGCACAGTGTGTGACACACAATAAGTGTTCAAAAACAGCAACCTTAATTATTACTATTACTGCTATCCTTATTATTTCATCCCCATAAATCCACCAAAATGGCTCTCCCAAGTCACCAACAGCCTCCTCATCTCATATCTGGTGGCCTTTTCTCTACTCCATCCTCATTCACCTTGGGCTGGTTAATACATCCCTGCTTATTTAAAATTCTTTCTTTCTTTGGCTTCTAGGGCATCTTTGGCTTCCCCAGCATCTCACACAGACTTCAGAACCAGGAAGTTAATCAGCATACATAGGTGGACTTGAATTTGAAAACCCAAAGCCCTTTTGCCTGCTGCTGTCTCTGCCACCACATCCAAAATCAGGTGATGCAGAACACAGCCTGCTCCTTTGTTGGGGCCATTGCATGTGTGCCCCCCCGCTTCCCCCACATCGTCACATGCCTCACTCTCTGGCTGCTGTGAGGTCTCAGCTCAAATGTCACCTCCCCACTGAGGACCTCCCTGACCATCGGGAGCATCTCAACCAAATGCAAAACTCAGGGACCCAGAAAGACAAAATGAATACTGTCCTCTCTCCCCACAGGTTGTTCTACGGTTGACTCACCCCTGCTCACCTGGATCAATGTCTCCAGCTCCTGTGGGCTCACACAGATATGATCCCGCAGGAATTCTGCCTTCTCCAAGGCGATGGTATTCTTCTGGCTGCTCTCGAAGGGCTGCTCCAATGCCCGGAAGACAAGACCGCCAGTGACGAGGTAGACCACCACGACCACAAAGATAGCAACCACTGTTTTCCACTTCATGACGGTCTGCAGGCCCCCCTGGGAGGTGCCTTCCATCCTGGCTACCACCGTGGCTCGGGAGGAGATGGAGAGGCGTGGGGCCGGGTAGTGCCCGTTAGTGGCACCCTTGGGCTGACACACCGGGGGCACTGCCGCAGGAACGGCCACTGAGAAACAGGGTGGGGGAGAGGGGAAAAGAGAGCTGGTTTACAAATGCAAAACACAAAACTTGTCAGAAACAAACCACAGATCTCTTTCTCAAGCCAGCTCTCAAATGTGAGGATTCAAAATTAGTTCACCAAGTCCACATTGAGGGAATTTGATCAGTTTCTAGGTGCCTGTTTGAGTTCTAAAAAAATAAGACCAGGAGTCCTAGTTGTTTTTAAAAAAATTATTATTAATTGAGTTTGAAATGCTTCTACTTCTCTACAAGGGTCCAAATTTGAAAACCATGTCTCTGTTATTTATAATTCATCTCTTCCCTTAGCTTCCTGGTTTAAACAATGTGTAAGATACACTGTAAATCATCATATTTGAAAAATAGACATACTGCTTAACTTGGAGAGGAAACAAATAAGACAGGGATTCCCAGCTACTCTGCCCAAATACTGAGGGCTAGGTGATACCAAGCGCAGAGAAGAGAGAACAACTACCAAGTTTGAAAGTCCCTTTTATCCAGGGCTGTGGTCATAAAACAAAAAAAAAAAAGGGAAGGATAAGCTTGCTCTAAGGGAGATGAGTCAAAAATCAGACACAGTAAAGAAAGTTTGGGTGTCTGAAGACTACTAAAGGTGAAGAAAAAGAAAGGTGTCCGTAATGAGGGAATTAACTTGCTGTCCTGAAAAAATAAGAATAATAAAATAGATACTAAACATATTCCTCAATAGAAAACGCGATGACTTAGATGTAATCACTCCTGATCTATTCATAATAGAATTTTTCTTCTATTTTCTTCCAATGAGAAGCCATTGGAAAGGAAATTTCCCCTGGTTTTCAGAACACATCGAATTCTCAAAGGTCCCTGGTCTCTGTAAGGGCAATTTCATTACCTTGGAAATAAATATGTTAAGCTGGAGGCTTTTCTGGAACGGCAGGAAGTTCAGGGTCGTGTCGCACACATAATGCTCTCACGCATTTCAGAAATCTGCAGCAGCGCACGGCCGCTTCACTTCGATTTTTTTCTCCCTCTATTATACTAATGCTTACTATGGCCTCTGTCATGGTGCAGCCTGGCTGCTGTGTAAATAAGATATTGAGACAACCAACCTAATTACCGAAGTGGGGAAAACAATTCCACTCGTGAGAGCTAAACTGCTCAATCTCTGCCCAGGGAAACTCGGGGTAAATAAAAGCGCAGGAATGTCACTCCTTGTTCAAAACACCAACGACCCCAACACCACCTGGCCAGAGGGGTGGCCACCTCAAGGAATCTAGGTTCGTAAACATCTGCCTTTCCTCCTAGAGCCTCAAAATCAGCTTTTCCCTTTGGAAACCAAGCTGAACATCAGCCTTTTATTGTATAATATTCCATCAAATACAATCATTAAATGTTACATTTTCTTCTGATTTAAAATGAACACAAAACTCTCTGGAATCTCTGATTGAAAGACTTGACAATTCAGCCTGGGCACTATGTTCTTGCTAACCCTTCCCTAAAGACGCTACATTCGGGTTCCCACTTTCCGTTGTTGATACTGAGAAGGTGAGCCTTAACTAGGGTGGCTTTCTTGCAGCCTTGCCCGCATTTCCCATTCATTCGACCTCCTCACTGTTATCTCAATGCCTTGTGCCTCTCACCATGCCCATGGCCACCAGCCTCATCCGGGCCAGCATCACGTCTTGCCTAGACCAATCCAGCAGCCTCTTAAGTGACCTCCCCGCATCCACTTTCACCCACCTTCTGACCCATAAGTCTGGAGTTAAATGCCACTTCTGGAAGCACCTCCTCCCCTCTCCCCTGCTCCCTCTGTGGTCAGCAGAATAATGACCCCCAAAGATGTCCACATTCTAATCCCTGGGACCTAGGTTACCTTACACGGCCAAAGGGACTTTGCAGATGTGATTAAGTTAAGGATCTTGAGATGGGGAGATTATCCTGGATTATCCGGGTGAGCCCAACGTAATCACAAATGTCCTTATATGAGGGAGGTAGGAGGATCAGAGAGAAAAAAAATGCGAGGACAGAAGCAGAGGTCAGAGTGATGAGGCCACGAGCCAAGAGATGCAGTCAGCCCCTAGAAGCTGGGCAAGACAAGGAACAGATTCTGCCCTAGAGCCTCCAGAAGGATCCAGCCCTGCCTACACCTTAATTTCAGCCCAGTGAGGTAGATTTTGAACTTCTGAACTCTAGAACCATGAGATAATAAATCTGTGTTGTTTTAAGCCACTAAGTTTGTGGCAATTTCTTACAGCAGCAACAGGAAACTAATACACTCCCACTAAATTAGGTCTCCCTTGGCCCACACTCAATGCCCTGTGCTCTCGTTAGAGCCTGTTTACTCGTCCAGGAGAACAGGCACCATGCCTACCCCTCACCTCTGTACCCCAGTGTCCTGCATGGTGCCTGGCACACAGAGGGTGGCCAATCGATGATGGTTGATTAAATGAATGAAGTATGGAAGGAGGGAAGGTATGTCAGCATATCCAACACACACAATCTGGATGAGTGGTGTTAAGTGGAAAACAACTTGACATTCCAGCAATGCTGAATAGCAGGTCCTCCAACACAGCAGTGCCCTGTTCACACCTCCACAGCTTTATGGATGCTCCTTCGGCCAGGAGCCCCCTCCCCACCTGCATCTGCCTGGCAATCTCCCACCACCCTCAGTCTCAGCTCTAAGCTGCCTCCTCTATGAAGTCGTCCTGGACTCTCCAGGCAGACTCGGCATGACCATCTCCCCACGAGCCTATGAACTCCTTGGAGTCAGAAAGCTTGTCTTTTAATCATTGGATCTCCATATCTTGCCACAGGGCCTGGCATAGAGCAAATGTCTGTTTTCTGTTGTTGTTGTTGATACCTCTTTCAGACTATAAACAAAAGCCCCATCAGCATCACCACCACCCTCAATAACAAGCATTGATTTAGCACCAAATGGGGCTGTGCTGTGGTCCCTCCCAGCTTCAAGGTGTTGACAGTCTGCTTAAGGAACATACTCCACAGCACCAGGTAACAAACACTAGGATGAAGCCTCACCGGGTGACAAATGATGGCTTTGAACATGGAACCCAGTTGGAGCCAGGTCTCCTCCACTGACCTGCATCATGGATGGTTCCAGGGCTTCTAGCATCCTAGAGGCTGGGCAGAATCGGGCTTGAGAAAGGTCTTTTCAGACCAGTTCCTTGTGCCAGTTTACTAACAGACTGTCCCTGGGACCAGAGTTTGAGCCAAATCCACCAACTCCTGAGTTTCCAAAGCACCGGGAGCAGAAACCAGAGATTCAGTCCCAAACCCATCCATGCCTGGGTGACCTTGAAACCGTCACTTAGTTTCTCTGTTTCCTTATCTGCGAAATGTGAATAATAACAGCCCCCCCCCCTTTTGTTTTTAACCCCCACAGGGTTCTGGGGAACAGCAGACGAGCTGCCCTGGTTTACTGATTAGAGTGTATTTGTAGGTATCAAAAGTGCTGGCAGGGACCAGAAGGTTACAAAACCTTTTGTGCATTTGACTAAAACCGGAGTTGATTGCTTTAGCAAAGATGACTGCACATTTAGATGGCTGGAAAAAGATTCAGTTTGCCCCTTTTCCTTAAGTTGGATAAGTTTTCAAAAGGTGTTTTAATTAATCCATTTCCTCTCCTCAGAAACCATAGCTGCTCTCACTCTAATACCAAGTTGCCTTGTGACCTGGGATGTGCCACTGGAGCGCTCCATGCCTGGAGCCAGCAAAGAAGCCAAATCGGCCAGATGATGATGACGGTGGTGGTGGTGATGGTGAAGGTATCAGGAGTTTCCACCACTTCCTGGGCACTTACTTTGTGCCCATTGCTCTCATAAACACTTTGCTTACATCAGTGCATGTGGTCCTCACCTTGAGGTATTATCCCCCTGCCTGAGTCCAGGTCCTCCCAGAAGCAGACGCCAAGAGGAGATTAAAGGTGCATGGATTTTATTAGAGGAAGTGCAGACGTGAGAGAAAATGGGAGGGAGCCAGGTCAGCACAGCCATCAGACACATTGTGAGCCTGACTCCAAGTAAAGGAGAGAGGGAAGGAAGGATGGGTATAAGCGTCCTAGACCATCTGCAGCCTAAGGAAGGTTCAGCATGGCCATCAAAGAGTTCTTGAGCCAAAGTTGGCCACCTGGGGAGTCCTGTGTCTCTCAGTCAGAGGCCTGCCTGGGATCTCTGCCACATTCAGTCACCGGCTGGGAGCAGCCCATGGGAAATGTGTCCCCAGTGCAAACCCACAGTGGATTTCAGAGCAGCAGCTAGGGCTCTTGGTCAATTACACTCCCTCCAGTCGGAGGCCTGCAAGGCACAGGCCTGCTCATGGCCACCACACATCCCCACTTCACAGATAAAGAGACTGAGACCCAGAGAGGTTAAATGACTAAGCCGAGGTCAAGTGGCCAGAAAGCGGTGGAACCAGGATTAAAATCAGAATAATCTGACTTCAAAGTCAGTTCTCCTCTGGAGCGTAGGAACAGAAAAAGAGGAAACAATGAAATTCCAGGTGGAAAGGGCCCTTTTATCCAAAAATGACAAAGCCATTTGTCGCAGACAGGCATAAACATATTTTCCAGTGTGTGAGATTGACTGCTTTAGTTTCCTAGAGGTGACAGAGATTTTTCCCCATATATTGAATCAATAACAGATGGGTCATATAAATCATGGCCTGTCATACATCACGACTCCAACAGAAAAGTTTCTGGCAGCAAAAGTGCTGCCAAGAATCTAAGAGAAAGGAAAGGTTGGAAGACAATATCCCTTCAGTTAATTTTTATTTTGAAATATTTCCTCACAAATGTTAGCCCATTCCATTCCTAAATGTGTGTGGATATGAGGGCATGTGTGGAAATCTGCTTTTCCTTGGCTGAATAAGTTCTTTGTAATTTTATACTATTCAGGCTTTCTCATGCCCCACACACTTTCTTTTTTTTTTTTTTCTTTTTTTGTTTGTTTGTTTGTTGCAGTAACATTGGTTTATAACATTGTATAAATTTCAGGTG